GTGAATAGGAACTCCGGGCTGCCAATAAATTAGTTGTAAGTAAATTATATGTAATTAAATTATATTTTAATAACAATTTAAATCAATCTGTATTCATTTGTAACTATAAGATCCCAACATTCCTGCTCCCGAGCTACGGATAAATATATTCAAAGGATACACAACTCCTCCCTGAATATCTTATATTTAACTGGTCTTCCCCGACCACGTTACAGTTCCATCATCGAGCTCTATATCATGCGTATTGCAATTAACGGATTTAATAATTTTACCTTTTTGCCATTTATTGTATTTATTCCTATAGCCTCTAGCCAAAAAAATATCACCTGTAATAAATTATACGGTCCTATTACCACCATTGTTTACTTGTAATTTTTGTCGTTTGATAACCATTTCACTTGTATTCGGCATTAATGCGTCAAATTATAAGCATGTTGATTGACCTAACAATAACCTAACGTTGACCAAGGTAATTGTGGTTACGATGTATTTAAAGAAATTTATTTAATTGGGATTGCGCAGTCGAGCGTTTTTCAAAGAAATTATTTATTGTTTTGACTGCGATTCCCACAACCGTTTGATTTTGGGTGATATGGTACGCCTGTCATGTGTCTTATGCCTTTTTTTTTTTTTTGTGTGGTATCGAGAACCAGAGAGGGGACCGCGTTAGCATTACTTCCCCTCTGGCCCACTTCCCCTCTGGCCCACCACTTCCCCTCTGGCCCAATGTGTCATATGCCTAGATTTTTGCAATATGCTCGAAACCCAAGACCTGCGAAACATTTTGCGCCGTCTGATGTAATTTATTTTGAAATGCCAAATCGTGCTATAGTTTCTGAGAATTTTTGAATAACAATATGTGCTGTCATAGAATTTACTGGAAATACTTCTAACCATTTTGTGGTTGCGTCAACAATGACAAAAAAATATTTATTTTGAAATTGTCCAAGAAAATCCTAATGCACTCTAGTCCATGGTTTTTCTGGCCTTTTCCACTTTGATAATATAATAGATTTGGTGGGTTTTTTTTTTACCTAACATTAAGACATTTGTCGAAATTTTGCTTAATATTTTTAATTTCTTTATCCATTCCTGGCCACCAAAAGTATTATCTCACTAAACTTTTCATACTGGAAGAGAACCAATATGACTTGAATGAAGTTCGCTTAATATATTATTTCGAAATTTAGCTGGTATAATAACACGATAACCGATAGGTTCCACTGAAATTTAATACGCCTTAAGTTCTGAATGGTTGGAAAAATCACTATT